GAACCGTGACTGCCTAGTTCATAAGTCGATGCTCAACCACTGAGCCACACCAGCCGGGCTAGCCAATTGAGTTTTTACAATGGTGCCAAGACCATTCATTGGAGGATAACAGTCTCATCAGTAAAGGCGCTGGGACAGCTGGCTATTCACACGCAAAAGAATGAAGTGGGATCCCTACCTTACACTGTATACATAACTCAAATGGATCAACATTCTAAATATAAAGCTAAAACCATAAAACTCTTAGAAGAAAACACAGGCATAAATTTCATGATCTTGGGTTTTGCAATGGATTCTTAATATAACACCAAAAAAAATGAGCAACAAAAGAAAACCATAGATAAACCTCAACAAAATATAAAGCTTTTGTGCATCAAAGGATATGATTTTTTAAAGTGACAATTTGCAGAATGGGAGAAAATGTTTTCAAATCATATATCTGATATACAGAATGTATGAAGAACTCTTAACACCTCAACAACAAAAACACACAACCCATATATTTTAATGGGCAAAGGTCTTAAGTAGGCATTTCTCAAAAGAAAATATATAGATAACTAGTTAGCATATGAAAAGATGCTTAACATCATTAGTCATTGGGGAAATGCAAATCTAAACCACAACAATGTACCACTTAACATCCACTAAGATGGCTATAAATTAAGAATAGTAAATACAAGTGTTGGCAAGCCCTAGCTGGTTCGACTCAGTGGATAGAGGTTCAGTCTGTGGACTGAAGAGTCCCGGGTTCGATTCCGTTCAAGGGCATATGCCGGGGTTGCAGGCTCGATCCCCAGTAGGGGGTGTGCAGGAGGCAGCCAATCAATGATTCTCTCTCATCAGTGATGTTTCTATCTATCTCCCTTCCTCTCTGAAATAAATAAAAATATCTATTTTAAAAAGTTTTGGCAAGACTGTGGAAAAACTTGAACTCTCACATATTGCTGGAGGGAATGTAAAATGGTTCAGCCACTGTGGAAAATAATTTGGCAGGTCTTCATAAAGCTAAACATAAAACTACCATGTGACCCAGCAATTTAAGGCATATATCTAAAAGAATTAAAGACAAGTACTCAAATGTGTTTATGTACACACATGTTCACAGCTCTGCTCATTCACAATAGCCAAAAAGTAAAATAAAAAAATAATAAAATTTAAAAAAATTAAAAAAAAAAACCAATAGCCAGAAAGAAGAAACAGCCCAAATGCCCATCCACGGGGGATAAACACATTGTGTACATAAACTGAAGCAGCCATAAAAAGGAAGGAAATTCTGACATGTGCTACAGCTATTCACCCTGAACACAGCATCCTAAGTGCAATAAGCCAGGTGGAGAATGGTTTCACTGTATGACTTCACTGCAATGAGGTACTTAGAGTAGTCAAATTCATCGAGACAGGAAGTAGATTAGAGATTACCAGGGACTGGGAGGAGAGAAGGACTTATTGTTTAATGGGTACCGAGTTTACGTTGGGGATGATGAAAAAATTTTGGATATAGATAGTGGTGATGGGTACTCAGCGTTGTGAATGTATTTAGCGCCATTGAATTGTGCCCTTACAAATGGTTAAAATGACAAATATTATCACACAGTGCTCAAACTGTCATTATTCTGCATCATAGACCAGCCGTAGATGTTCTAACAGAACCATGTAAGGTCCCAACAGCGCGGGTGACCAGGAGCACTGATCACATTATACATTTGCATGTTCCCACCAAAGGGACTTGGCATATCTAGTTTCCAAGTATCAAGAAATGCATTAAAGAATTTTCAGACCTGGGAACAGCCCTCAGGAGTGTGTTCCCTGAGAGCTAAGGTGTGCATACAAGAGTCCTGGCAACAGGACACTGACTTCAGTCAAGGCCTGCTGTCTCTTCGCAGGCTGGCTCTGTCCAGATGAGTCTGTTTTCAGCTAAGTCACCTAAAGCAGGAAGGAACGTCAGACTCATGTCTCAACAATTTATAAATTAAGAATCATTAGGTCAGTATCAACAACCAATATTTATTAATAATCAAAGCAAGAATAACAGTTGTGGGGAAAAATCAAGTGTTTTATTTAGAAGTATTTGGTACCAGAGGAGGAGGCCTCCCGTAATAATGTTGAAGGTAGAAGTCATACACACCATATGTATTTGTTTTAAATTTTATGAAAAGAACAAAGTAAATCAAAAGGAAAAATATCTCTTCCTTGCCACATATTACAAAATATTTCCCCGATGATAAACCTTAAAACTAGACAAACTACCTTCAGTGGGAAGAGAAGGGGAGGGGCCAGGTGGCGCAGTGTATACAGAGCGCCCTCTGGTGGTAGGTGCTATGCATACCATCCTCCAAAATAACATCTCAAGGTTACAGAAGGGGCCACAGAAATCTCTTTCAAATGTATGTAATCTGAGCGGATGTAAACTGTTAAGTGGCTATTTTAAAACTGTACTATAGGCCCGGCCTGTGTGGCTCAATGGTTGAGCATCGACCCATGAACCAAGAGGTCACCCATTCGATTCCAGTTTGTTGTGGATGACTCTCAGCAGCATAACGTCAAAATGGTTCACCCGCTCTGAGAAGTTTGGCAATTTCTTAAACACAAACAAACACAGTTACCATCCACCCAGCAATAGTCCTGGCATTTACCCCAGAGAAACGAAATGTCTACACAAACACCTGCACAAAGATGCTCATAGTTTCATTTTTAATAGCCAAGCTATTTTTAAAAATTAATAACAATAAGAATGTTGCCAAAACCGGTTTGGCTCAGTGGATAGAGCGTCGGCCTGCGGACTGAAAGGTCCCAGGTTCGATTCCGGTCAAGGGCATGTACCTGGGTTGCGGGCACACCCCCAGTAGGAGATGTGCAGGAGGTGGCTGATCGATGTTTCTAACTCTCTATCTCTCTCCCTTCCTCTCTGTAAAAAAATCAATAAAATATATTTTTTAAAAAAAAGAATGTTGTGTATCAAAAACTACAGATATAACTAAAACCATATTTCCTGAAAACCCATGACCATAGTTTTTTTTAATATATTTTATTGATTTTTTACAGAGAGGAAGGGAGAGGAATAGAGTTAGAAACATCGATGAGCGAGAAACATCGATCAGCTGCCTCCTGCACACCCCCTACTGGGGAAGTGCCCGCAACCAAGGTACATGCCCTTGACCGGAATCAAACCCGGGACCCTTCAGTCCACAGGCTGACGCTCTATCCACTGAGCCAAACTGGTCAGGGCTATTTCTTTTTAATTGTTTGGGTTTTTTAAAAATATGTTTTTATTGATTTTATTATTTTTTAATCCTCACCCGAGGATATTTTTCCATTGATTTTTAGAGAGAGTGGAAGAGAGAGGGAAAGGCTGAGAGAAACAGCAATGTGAGAGAAACATTGATCAGCTGCCTCCTGCACACTCCCTACTGGGGATGTGCCCGCAACCAAGGCACGTGCCCCTGACCGGAATCAAACCTGGGACCCTTCAGTCCGCAGTCTGACACGCTATCCACTGAGCCAAACTGGTTAGGGCAATAAATAATTTTTCTTAAAGGTCTTCCCCATGGAGTGTGAATTTCTTGCATTTCCAGGCTGCCCCGAGGTGGGGAGCAAGGTGCAGCTGGCCAGTCACCACAATCCATCTTGGTTCTCACTCCTGGACTGGCACCCAGGGCTCAGCACGCACTTGACAAACGCCAGGAATTCCCACCAGACCACTGGGCACTCCTCCCTGACCTTTCTCCTCTAGGGGCTGGTGGGAGAGTGCCAAGTTGGGCAGAATAGACCCATGCTTTCTGGATCTAAAGAACAGTGCACTTGACTGTTCTTTCTTCTAATATTTGTAACTTGTTTAAATTTTTTCTTCATTAATAATGAAATCAAGGAAGACTTTGTTTCCCTCTGAACACAGCTTTAGCTATAGCTATGTCCTATAGAGCAGAGTATGAAGACATGCACCTTAGCAGTTTTATATATAAAGGGTGTCCCAAAATTCACGCAAGAAGTAATTTTGATAGAAAACACAGGTTTATAATTAAAAGTTGTAAATTTTTTATTGATTCACAAAGTATACAGTATAGGGTTATGTATGGAATAGCATATCGGGTAAATGGATTATCATGTCGCGATAGCGAGCACCATTAACTGTTATTGCCTGAGCAGCCGCATTTTCGAAGAATGGTCCGATGATGCCTCCACCCCAAAATCCGCACCAAACAGTGACACGTTGTGGATGGCTTGGTTAATCGACAAAATTGTCGCATTTGGGGTTCAGAAAATCCACGAGTGATTGAGAAACAAATGCATCCACAACGTGTCACTGTTTGGTGCGGATTTTGGGCTAGAGAGGCATCATCAGACCATTCTTCTTCGAAAATGCCGCTGCTCAGGCAATAAGTTAATGGTGCTTGCTATCTCAACTTGATAATCCACTTACCCGATATGCTATTCCATACATAACCCTATACTGTATACTTTATGAATCAATAAAAATTTACAATTTTTAATTATAAACCTGTGTTTTCTATCAAAATTACTTCTTGCGTGAATTTTGGGACACCCTTTACTTTGAAACTTCATATTTGAGTTTTTCTTTGATTCAGGGTTTTTTTAAAAGATAATTTGCTATTTTCTAACTATTTAGGTTCTCTTGGTTTTTTAACATTTTACTGTTTGTTTAGAATTGCTTTGGATTACGATCAAATCATCTGTCCTAGTTTTTCTCTTTATTCAATTTGCGTGCGCGTGTGTGGCCTGGCACATAATGATATTTTGCAAATATTCTGTGGGCTTAAATAAATGCAACGCTCTCTCTCTACACATAATAATAAACTGAGCCTGCTGATTGTATTAAAGTTTTTTGTTCTCATACCTGCTTTTCATCTGAATATCTGTCTATCCTGGAATGGGTGTATGAAGCCTGGGGGAGCCTGAGGCCCGCGTGCTGGTCCTCGGCCAACGCCAGGCTCCAAGGAGGAGAGGCCCAGGGAGAGGCAGGGCTGAGGGCGGGGCGGGGCCAGCCCGCCGGGTTGCCAGGCGGCAGGACGGGGACACAATGGGGTCTGGGAGTTGGCCCGGACACCCCACTTGCCTTCCCAGCCGGTAGCCACAGGAGCAGGTTAGTGCATCAACTTCAGGCCCCTCCAGGCGCCCGGTCCCAGTGCCGCTCCCCTGCTGCGGCATCTTCCCCAGACGCCAACACACCGCGGCCCCCAGAACCCCCGGGGATTCCCTTCGGCGGAGCTGAGTCCAAGCTTGGCGTGGGCACACACACACACACACTAAACTCACTCAGTTTGGGGGTGGGGGGTGGAGAAGGCCTCGAAGCTGGGTCCCTACCCTGCGCCCCCTCCCCCACAGAACTGGGCTATCCCCCCCCCCCACACACACACACACACACACACGCCCGAAGCTGGGGTAGCCCCCCCACACACACACACCAGAGCTGGGAAAGCTACTGTGTTTTCCTGGCGCCTGGGAGACGGGTGGGGCCCCGCCTGGCTCGCCCCTGGAGTTGCCGGGATGTGTCGTCGTCCCCCACCTTCTGTCCACAGGTGCTGCGGGCCGTAGAGCACCCACCGCGCCATGGGCTCGGACCTCTGGGTCGGTCCCTGGCGACCGCACCGGCCCCGCGGCCCCATCGCGGCGCACTACCGGGGCCCGGGACCCAAATACAAGCTGCCCTCCAACACCGGTACCGGCGCGCGTCACTGCGCGGGGTGGGGTGGGAGGAAGGGCTGGCGAGGTCTGTGCCGGGAGTGGGGTGCTGTACCCTGGGCCGGAGAGCGGGAGGTCCGTTCTGGGGGTGCTGTGCCCGGGCCGGAGGGCGGGAGGTCCGTTCTGGGGGTGCTGTGCCCGGGCCGGAGAGCGGGAGGTCCGTTCTGGGGGTGCTGTGCCCGGGCCGGAGCGGCCGGACCGGGTGACGCTGGGTCGCCCGCAGGTTACGTGCTGCACGACCCCTCCCGGGCCCGCGCCCCCGCCTTCACCTTCGGCCTGCGCCTCCCCAAGCAGCAGGTCTCGTGCAGCCCCGGGCCGGGCTACTTGGTGCCGGCGCGCATGACGGTGCGCGGCTGGGACGGCACCCCCGCCTTCTCCATCTTCGGCCGCCAGCGCCACGCCGCGCCCAGCCTCACTCCCGGACCGGGTCAGGACCCCTGCCCGCCCCCCAGGGCCAAGCGACACCCAGAACCCCCACCCGAGCCCGACCCCGGGGACCCTCACACTCCAAGTTCGGGGCTCCGTATCGGACCTCCAAGAACTGCAGGCTCCACGGGTTTTGACCAACCGCGGTTCGGTGTCCCCTAATCCCAGAACCCAGGCCTGGTTCTGCCGACACCCCCGGTCCGCCCCACAGGCAGGTACTTCCCGGAGCGAGCGGGCAACGCCACGTACCCCAGCGCGCCTCGACACACCATGGCCCCCCGAAACTGGGGCGTGCAAGCGGAGCACAACACCCCAGGTGAGACCACGCGGGTCCGTTACCGCTGCGAGGCCCTTCCCACCCGGCCCAGCGGCCACCGGGCTCACCCCAGGCCCCCTCGCTGGCTGCCTCCCAGGTCCCGGCGCCTACACGGTGCCCTCGGTCCTGGGCCCGCGAGTCATCAGTAAGGTCTCCGCCCCCACCTACTCCCTCTACGGCCGCAGCGTCGTGGGCAGCTTCTTCGAGGACCTCAGCAAGGTGAGGGCGCTGCGGGCTCCACGTCGGGAGGGGCAACTGGGCAGCGGGTGAGGAAGCCAGGAGCCGGGTCAGTGGCCAACGGGAATGGAGGCCCAGCCCAGCACCCCTCCCGCAGACCCCAGGTCCCGGCACCTACCACGTGGTGAACCCCGGCATCTACAAGTCTCGGGCCCCCCAGTTCACGATGCAGCCGCGGACGGCGCTCCCCCAAGACAAGAGCCAGAACCCCGGGCCCGCAGCCTACAGTGTGGACCAGGTGATCCGGGATCCCGGGGCCAAGGGCCAGATCCGGGGGATGAGAGTCCGGGTCCAGGATGGAGGGTCCGAGGCCCGAGGTTTGGGACCGGGCAGGGGTGGGGGTAAAGGGGAGACAGGACGGGGACCCTGGCGCGGAGCTGCAGGGTCGGCCTGCGAGGTCAGCGGCGTCTCCTGGGCCCCCAGCACCGGAAGCCCCGCGGCTGGAGCTTCGGGATCCGACACTCGGACTACGTGGCCCAGACCTTGGCCGAAGTGGATGACTGATGGGCCGGCGGGCGCGGCCCCACAAACCTTTGCTTAAAGCTTCGGGAACCAGCCGGGTGTCCGCCTCTCTGTGCGCCCGGCCCGGAGAGGGCGAGGGGGCGGAAGGGCGGGGAGTGGGGGGCGGCGAGTCCGGGAAGTCGAGTCCCGGGGGCCTGTGATTGGCCGGAACCAAAGAAACTAAAATCGAAAGCCGCGTCTCCAGACCCCGGTAGACAAGCTGGTGCGGCGAGCTTCCTGCCCCGGTGCCAGGCTTGCAGTTTGGACCGTAGTCAGGGCACCTACAAGTCAGCCAATGAGTGCATCGATAAGTAAAATAACTACTTTATGTTTCTCTTTTCCTCTCTAAAATCCAATAAAAAAATACCCTCGGGTGAGAATTGAAAATAAAAAAACCTGGGGGGGTGGGGGGGTCATGTGGGGATAAGGACACGTATGTAATAACTTAATCAATGAAAATTTAAAAAATAAAAATAAAGAAACCGCCCTGGCCTGTGGCTCAGTGGTTAGGGCGTGGGCTTGCGCACCGAAGGGTCGGGGGTCGCGGGTTAGACGCTGGTCCGGGCAGGTCCCTGAGTTGCGGGATTCTCCCCACCCCCTTCCTCCCTCCCTCCCACTCTCTCTGAAGAACAATGGAAAAGATATCATGTGAGGATTAACAAAAACACGTAGTCAGTAATTTTTGAAAAACACATCATCCCTCCTCCTCGAGGCGGCGATTGGCCCAGAGTCCTATCCGTATGAGGCCCCGCCCACCTGCCGTCTAGGGCAGCCAGTGACCAACGGGTCCGCCCCTCCCTGTGGGGAACTGCCCCTGCCTGTCGGGAACTGCCTCTCCCTGTCGGGAACTGCCCCTCCCTGTCCTCGCCGAGTCTAAGTTCCTGGAGGGACAGGGCGGAGGCCGGCAGGAACCGAAGCAGGAAAGGCGAGGGCCGCTGTCCGGAACAGGTAGGAGCCGGGGTCCCGTTATGAGGCTGAGACGTGGGAGCTGGACCCAGAGACACGCACGTGGGCAACACAGACCAGGCGGCGGCGGGCGGGGCGGACAGGAGGAAGGAACGGGCGGGGACGAGCGCACCTGGCTGCTCCGATGAACACAGGGCGGGGCGGGTCCCAGGTGTGTCTCCCACCCCGCAGGCTCGGAGCAATGGCGACCCCGGGAGCCCCAGTGGGTGGCGTCTCGTCCGGAGGGCCCCAGTGCCCTCCTGACCCAGCGCTGGAGCCCAAGCAGCTCCCGGAGCTGATCCGCCTGAAGCGAGACGGAGTCCGCCTGAGCGAGCGAGACATTCAGAGTTTCGTGCGCGCCGCGGTGGACGGGAGCGCGCAGGGCGCACAGATAGGTGTGTGGGGCAGGTGGGCATTCCTGACTCCAGAGACCTCCTACCCTTGGCACCCCAGGGCTCCGCACCACGTCCCTGGCCCCAGGCTAACCCATCCCTGTGAGAGCGCCCCCTCACGCTGCCTACACCACCGTGTCCCATGTTTAGGGGCCATGCTCATGGCCATCCGACTGCAAGGCATGGATCTGGAGGAGACTGTGGCGCTAACCCGGGCCCTAGCCCACTCCGGGCAGCAGCTGGAGTGGCCAGAGGCCTGGCATCAGCAGCTCGTGGACAAACATTCCACAGGGGGAGTGGGTGACAAGGTCAGCCTGGTCCTGGCACCTGCCCTGGCTGCCTGTGGCTGCAAGGTGAGGTGCCTCCTCTCCAAACCGGAAACTCAGGCCTCAGAGGCCGGCAGCTCCCAACCTCTAATTTGGTCCAGAAAGAGCCCCCAAAGGCAGGACCCAAGCTCCTTGCCCCCCCCCCTTCCCAGCAGCCCCTGTAACAGGACCACGCTATCTAGCGCCCCTTCCTCTTCAGTACCCGAGAAAGGACCCCCAAAGGAAAAGCTGGGTACTCCTCCCTGGGCAGATACCAGCCTCCTTCCTCAGTCCCAAACCAGGACAATTTCTTTCCCATTCCCTCTCCACCAGGGGGACACCCACTACCACTTCTAACTGCAGCTGAAGTCCTAACCAGGGAAGTGAGGGAGGAGGTGGAGGGTGACAGTGCAGGTGTACTCAGACCCCTGTCCAACAGGTACCCATGATCAGTGGGCGTGGTTTGGGGCACACAGGAGGCACCTTGGATAAACTAGAGTCGATTCCTGGATTCACCGTCATCCAGAGCCCGGAACAGGTACGTGGAAGCCACTGATCAGTCATTGACCTGGATTATTGATGTAAACATTAAACAGAATCGCTGAAGGATCACTGATGGGTTATCAGTCAGGGTCACTAATGAGGATATTCATAAAAGTTATTCATGGGTCTTTGCTGATCATTGGACTTTGGTCAAAGTTACCAACAGACTTTTGGTTGGAGCCATTAATAGGGACTTGGTAAAAATCCCCGATGGGCCATAGGGCATTGATTAATGTCACTGATGGGTTGAGCCAATTATTAATGAGGACTTATCAGAATTGTTCCTAAGTTACTCGTCATGGTTTTGACATTTGTCAAGGTGGCTGGTGAGTCCCTTGATCAGGGTTAGTGATGGGGTCATTGACCAGAGGTCACTGACAGTCACTGGGAGTCCTGACATATGGGGATTTGGCCAGATGCAAGGTCTGCTGGAGAGAGTGGGCTGCTGTATTGTGGGTCAGAGCAAGGAGCTGGTTCCTGCAGATGGAATCCTGTATGCAGCCCGAGATGTGACAGCAACCGTTGACAGCCTGCCACTCATCACAGGTGACCTGACCGCACACTCCAGGGTCCACCTTCTGCATGTTAAACATCCCTGACTTCTGATGGACCAGTAAAGGGTCCTCTCCCAACCCCAGGGTAGACGTCCCCTCACCACTCAAGAGGGAGACCTGGCTGAAGCACAACAGTCCAGGCCCTGTGACGCCCATCATAAGGGACTTGACCCTCAATGTTCAGAGTCCCTGACTCCTCATGTCTGACCTGAGAGCCAGGATGCCCTGCATCTCTCAGGAAGTGCCAAGCTCTCCTGTACCCAAGGCCCCCTCTGCCTCCCTCACAGCCTCCATCCTCAGCAAGAAGGTGGTGGAGAACCTGTCTGCACTGGTGATGGATGTGAAGTTCGGAGGGGCTGCCGTCTTCCCGAGCCAGGAAAAGGCCCGGGAACTGGCTAGAGCCCTGGTGAGCGCTGTGCCCAAGGAGCCTCTGCTGGGGAGGGTCTCCCCCACGGGCCCAGCCTCCCCTTCATAACCGTCTGCTCCCTGTTGCCTCAGCCACATCCACTCAGCAGGCCTGTGTCACCATGGCCTCTGCCAGCACCTGGCTTCCCCACTCCCAGTTCCTCCTTCACCCCCTACTCACCTTTCCAAGCAAGGCTGGCATGGCCCCGGGCCGGTACACGGTCTTTCTGACCCCCACCTCTGAAGTCGGGCACATTGCCTGCTTCACCGCTCCCCCCACTCCAACAACCAAACCCTTCTGGGACCCCCTCACTCCTGGGGAACTGGCACCCAAGAGAGCAGCACCGGCTGGAGTTTGGTAACAAGCGGGCCCACAGAATTCAGGGCAGGGGCCACACTGAACCACGTCTCCGAAGGTTAATGTCGGGGCAGGCCTGGGGCTCCGGGTTGCAGCGGCGCTGACAGCCATGGACCATCCCCTGGGCCGCAGCGTGGGCCACACCCTGGAGGTGGAGGAGGCGCTGCTTTGCATGGACGGCGCGGGGCCACCGGACCTGCGGGACCTGGTCGTTAGGCTCGGTGAGTGGACCCGTAAGGTGTCGGGGTGGGAACTACAGAACCGCCTCCGCGGCACCTAAACCCCAGACCCACGCCGGCAGGGGGCGTCCTGCTCTGGCTCAACGGACAGGCGAAGGCCGAGGCCGAGGGCGCAGCCCGGGTGGCCGCGACGCTGGACGACGGCTCGGCCCGGGACCGCTTCGAGCGGATGCTCGCGACGCAGGGTGTGGACCCGGGCCTGGCCCGAGCCCTCTGCTCCGGGACCCCCGCGCAGCGCCGGCAGCTGCTGCCCCGCGCCCAGCAGCAAGAGGAACTGCTCGCGCCCAAGGACGGTGAGCTCCCGCAGACCCGCCCCCGCCAGGCCCCTTCACCCCCCAGGTCCCTGCCCTTCCTCAGCCCTGCCCTGCCCCTCGCGCCCACCCGCTCAGCACTCCCTCCCCGCAGGCACCGTGGAATTGGTCCGGGCGCTGCCGCTGGCGCGCGTCCTGCACGAGCTGGGGGCCGGGCGCAGCCGCGCCGGAGAGCCGATCCGGTTCGGGGTGGGCGCCGAGCTGCTGGTCAGCGTGGGCCAGAGGCTGCAACGCGGTGAGCACGAATCCCGGCCCCTCATTACCCCGCCCGCCGCCTCGGCCGCCCCAGCCACTAACCGCCCATCCTCCGCCCGCAGGGTCACCCTGGCTCCGCGTGCACCTGGACGCGCCCGCGCTCAGCGACCCGCAGCGGCGAGCCCTTCAGGAGGCGCTCGTGCTCTCGGACCGCGAGCCCTTCGCCGCCCCCTCGCCCTTCTCTGAGCTCATCTTGCCGCCGAACGACGCGCGGCAATAAAGCCAAGAGCAGCAATAAGGCCGAGCGGCAGCAATAAAGCCGAGCGGCAGCAATAAAGCCAAGCGCAGCAATAAAGCCGAGCGCAGCAATAAAGCCGAGCGGCAGCAATAAAGCCGAGCGCAGCAATAAAGCCGAGGGCAGCAATAAGGCCAAGCGGCAGCAATAAGGCCGAGCGGCAGCAATAAAGCCGAGCGCAGCAATAAAGCCGAGGGGCAGCAATAAAGCCGAGCGCAGGAAAGCCGTGTCTGCGCCTGATTCGCTCGCGGGCAGGGGCGGGACTTCTGGAGCACCGCCCCGTTTGGCACGTGACCTTTGGTGGGGGGGCCGCCCCACCTCCTGCGCGCACTTCCGGCTGCCATCCGGACGCGCGTGCGCGACGCGTTGACGCGTGCGCAGTGGAATCCAGCGTGGCGACCCGGCAGAGGGCCCTGAGAGCAGGGCGGGGCGTCCGACATCCCAGCGCGAATCGCCCGAGGTGCGGACCCCAGGAAGACTGGGTGCGAGGTTTGGAGGGGCGGGCGGGCAGGCGCCTGCGGTGTGCTCTGCGCGTGGCCTGCGGCAGGTCCAGCTTTGCGCGTGCGTGGAGGGCGCCTGGAGGCTCAGGGAGTCTCCGCAGTGGCCGCCGCCTGCCAGGCACATCTCGTGCAGCGCTCAGAGCCCATTTGGTAAAGGAGGCGGGTACAGAGGCTAAGGGACGCGCCCAAGGTCACCCAAGCCCAGGAATCGAGGGAGGGTGGAAGCCAAGCGGTTAGTCCTCGGAGGCCCCTCAGCAGCAGCTGAGCAGGTGAGGGGTCCTCAGACCCCCGCCGACACCCCTCCAGGAGCCCCTGTAGAAAGGCTCGGCCGCCGGAGTTGTCGGGAACCCGGATGTGAAGCGGGTGAGACTTGTGGCAGGTGGAAACCTTTTCTCCAAGCGGGTGGGCCAGCCAGGGCGTGGCCCAGGTTCTGCTGTAGGCGGGGAAGGGGTGGTCTGCCGAGTCTGCCTTTGAGGGTTGAAGCCAGACTCACCGGCCTCCTTTCTGAAAAGGGGGCTCATTGCAAACAGATACACGTGCTCAGGAACCCAGGCAGCTGTGCACGCGGAGTGATCTCAGGCGGCTCCGATGCTGAAACACAGGTGAGTGCTGCCCTGTCTGTAGCTGCGGGGCCGGGGCCAGGGAGGGAGGAGGCAGAACGAGGCACTCGCCTGAAGGACAGCAGTGACAGGCTGGACTTCTGATGACACCTAAGCTTGGAGCTTCTGCCTTTAGAGGTGAGATGGTTCTGAGCTCAGCGGAGCACTGGGTGGCCATTTGGGACAGCTTGGTCCCCCAGGTGGAGACCCATTTCCCCAGTGATGGGAGGTGACCCAGGAGGCCAAGGCACCTTCCGGCTCCTGACATGTTTGCCCTCTTCCAGGAGCATCAGGCCTGTGCTGCTGCTGCTGGCTCAGCTGCCCAGGGCTCAGCACGGGCTCTCTCAGCTCAAGGCCTCCTCCCTCCTGAAGACTCCTGGAGGCGAGGCCCTCCATGTGAGGTGCCGGCTCTTGTCAAGGCAGGGCCCTGCAGAGACAGGCAGGCAGGGCCAGCCCCGGGGCCCTGGGCTGCGAACTAGGCTGCTGATCACAGCCTTATTTGGGGTGGGGCTGGGTGGGGCCTGGCTGGCCATGAGGGCTGAGAAGGAGCGGCAGCAGCAGCAGCGGCGGACAGAGGCCCTGCGCCAGGCCTCCGTGGGCCAGGGAGACTTTAGCCTGCTGGACCACCAGGGCCAGGCTCGCTGCAAAGCCGACTTCCGAGGCCAGTGGGTGCTGTTGTACTTTGGCTTCACTCACTGTCCCGACATCTGCCCTGACGAACTGGAGAAGCTGGTGCAGGTGGTGCGGCAGCTGGAGGCCCAGCCCGGCCTGCCCCTGGTGCAGCCCATCTTCATCACTGTGGACCCCGCGCGGGACGATGTTGCTGCCATGGCCCGCTACGTGCAGGACTTCCATCCGCGGCTACTGGGCCTGACCGGCTCGGCTGAGCAGGTTGCCCAGGTCAGCCGCAGCTACCGTGTGTACTACAGTGCCGGCCCTAAGGACGCGGACCAGGACTACATTGTGGACCACTCCATCGCCATCTACCTGCTCAACCCCGACGGCCTCTTCACAGACTACTATGGCCGGGCCAGGTCGGCCGAGCAGATTGCAGACAGTGTGCAGCGCCACATGGCTGCCTTCCGCAGCGTCCTGCACTGACCTGGGTCATTAAAGGGTGTGGTGGAGCTGCGTGTGTGTCTGAGCCATACCAGCTGCCCTGGGAGGCCACGGACGAGAGGAGCCCAGCACCTGGCTGTGGGCTGGATGCTGGAGATGGGCAGCTATCTTCTCTACACAGGAGCCTTTTAAAGGGATGGGTGGAGTGGCAACACCACTTTATTAGGCTGGGCCAGCCAGGAAGCAGGTGTGAAGTGAGCAGATGTGTGCCCAACATCATGGGGAACAGGGCTGCCCACTCAGGGCTGAGCCATGGAGGGGGCGGTGTAGGTCTGGAAGCGCTTGTGGGCCCGCTGGTGCGTGAGCAGTCTTAGGGTCATGGTGTCCACAGCCGCCTCCAGCCCTGGCTGCTGGGTGATCTCTACCGTGTGGTCATTGGCCTGTAAGGACAGGGTGTCAGCAGAGCCAGGGACCACTCCCCTCCCAGGCCCAGGGCCACTCACCAGTTGCAGAGAGGCCAGCATGGCGCGGCACACCTCGAAGGCAGGCTGGCCCGCCACCAGCTTCGCAAAGGGACACCACTGGTTGAGCTGACTGAACCTTGAGACCATCTGGTCCCCATACAGGTGGATGTCAAAGGGCACGTGCTGCTCCTGCAAGAGGGAAGAGCAAGGTCCTGGTCAAACCCTGCAAGCATCGGGCTCCATGCCCGAGCAGAAGCCGGCCCAGCCCTCTTACCTGCTCCTGGAGCAGGGGCTGGATGCTGTCCTCCCAGTCCCTGACACGCTGGCTCAGCTCCGTCTCCTGAACGAACTTCTGAGACGTGGTGATGAAGAGCTCCTAGGAGAGGACGGGAGCTGCTGCCTCTGTCAGAGCCATCACCCGGCTCCCCCCCCCTCCAACCAGGGCCTACCACGTTCCTCCGGACCAGCTCCTCGTAGCTCAGGGATGCCGGCATGGCCTCTGCTTCTGGAAAGGAGGGCAGTGGAGGTGTGGGCCACACCCTCCCTCCCTTCACCCTTGAGGAGCACCCTCATGAGGGCCTGGCCAGCAGCCCACTCCTAGACCTACCCAGGTCTGCAGCGTCCTCAGGCTTTGCCCCGTCAGGCTCTGCGTACTCTTCAGGCTCTAAAAAGTCATCTGCTGGGAGGTGGGGTGGAACCAGCAGGAGGCAGGTCAGCAGGCAGCCTGTCCTGAGCCCTCTTCCTCCCGCCACCCTGTGAGCACCCACCTGCTGCCCCCAGCTCCTCCAGGGAGTCCTCCAGGCGGTCCTCCTCCAGAGGCCACAACCCCTCCTCGGCCCTCGGCAGCCACCGCTTAGCTGCCTGTGCAGAGAATCTGTGAGCCACTGCTGTCTCCCACCACCCGGGGCTGTGAGGCCAGTGGCCAGTACTTGCCTCCCTCCTCTGCAGTTTCCGGAGGGTCTCCAGCTGCTCCCTCACGTGTTTCCAGTACAGAACCTCCATGTCTACACATAAAAGCCTCGTGAGGGGGTGCCCGCATCTTGCCTAGACCACCCTGGTCCACCTAGGGCCTTGGGCATCCCCAGGCGGAGGGGAGGAGGGCAGAGCATGGTGCCATTATCCCTCAGAGGAGCACACAGGGCCCCAGTCACACCTGCAAAGGACGGGCCCTTTTTCCGGAGCCTCCTGCTATCAGCATGGTCAGCATCTACAAGAGAACTGGGTTGTCAGGAGCCAGACCAAGTCCCCTCCTGCCCTGGCCTGGCCCAGTCCCACACACCCACTCACAGGTGGCCAGGTACCACTGGTGGAAGTCCTGCAGCTTGGCGGCCCCCTTCCTCTTGCGCTTCTGTCCCGGAACTTCCTCCACGCAGGCGGGCACGGAGTAGGGTTTACCTGGGGGGCAAATGGACTGTGTCTCAGGCACCACTGCAGGCCCCGGGGAAGATCACCAACACCCCTGAGAGCCATCACACGAGGGAGCACAGCCCCACCAGGCTCTCCGTGGGTACAGGGCACGCCCCACCCACCACCTGTACCCCCATGAACCCAGCCACAGACAGTGGGTACAGCTGTCCCTCCACCCAATTACCTTTCTTGAAGGGCTTAGAGTCCAGGGAGCTGAAGGGGTCCAGGCTCTGCCAGGGGTCTGGGGTCTCCTAAGCACGGAGAATAAGTAGACTCAGGGAGAGTGGGGGACACACACCCTTCCCCCAAGGCCAGCACTGAGGGCAATGACGGCCAGGGGACACTGGCCACGCGGAATCCAGGATCCAAGGGTGGAAGGGCCTCAGTCAGGTGGGAGTGAAGACGTGGGTGGTGGGGCCTCAGGCACACACCCTCCCTGGGCTCTGGTCGGGGCCCCACCATCTCACCTTCAGCTGGGACACAGGCTCCAGGGCCTCCCGCCTCTCCCTCAGCTCAAACCTCCTGGGCTGGGCAGTGCTCTGCAAAGAAATGGCCTCAGGGATGTCCCCTCCTGTGCTCTGGGGACAAATACTCTCCAGGAACCAGAGTATTTGAGCAGGAATTTCAAATAGTTCAAGGGCTAAAAGTAACACTGCTAGGAAAACTCCAGAGAACACAAACTAGTGAGCTAGTGGTCACGAGGAAAAACAAAACAGAATAACATGGTAATATCCACGGAGCTACCAGCCAAAATGAACACTAACATGCTTCCTGTGTGAAGTTCGCGTTGTAAAGAAAAAAGGACGTCTTCGCTCTAGGGCCGGAGCACAGAGCCCACCCTTCGGGGCTGAGGGGACGGCAAAGGCCTCCAAGGTCCCCCTTCCTGCCAGCCTGCCCTCGGGAGGCAGCTCCAGAGACCAGCTGCCATCTGTGGCTACAGGGGCACCACAGGCTCAGCCAGCCCTGAGGAGCAGCAGCTGCTCTGCAGGGTGAGGCAAGGGGAAGGAAGCTGCTGCCCAAGAGCTGGCTTAGGACACGTGGGGCTGCCCAAACCCAGGGCTTGCCCGATGGACGACTCAGGCTTTGCAGGCCTCAGTGTGTGCCCCACCTGCTGTGGGCTCCTGGACTCCTGGGGCTCCAGGGGGACCTCAGGGAGCTCTGCCACCCCCTCTGCATCCTCATCCTCATCCCCACCTGCGGGCATCGGGCCTTCTGGAGACGTGCCTGGGCAGAGGAGCAAGAGACCCGTCAACCCCGAGGAGCCCGCAGCCCAGACAGCAGGTGAGGGCTGCCCTCTGGGCCGGAGCGGCCCTCCCCCGTCTCAGCTTCTTCATTCATTAGACCCAGAGACTGGAGCACGGCGTCTCACACTCTCGACGTGCTGCTGTGCCGTTGGTTTCATTCTACTTCTGAGCTACTTTCCTCTCAAACGTTGCCTCTGTGCCTGCCCAGAGGAATGGGCAAACAGGGCAGTGGGCTGAGTGGGGAACGAGGCCTGGGCACAAGGGCAGCTCCAAGGTCTCATGGCTCCCATGCCTCCCCAGCACAGGCATAGAGGGGTGAGCAGGCTGGGTCCGTTGAGCACAGAGTCCTGTCCCCACCCCCACTAGTCGGTCCACCAGGATGACCTCTTCTCACCTGACTCCTGGGAGATGCCGGGCACAGGGACCGGACTCCTGATCATAGAGACTTCCATTGGCTGCTCCTCAGTGCATCCAGCTGAGAGAGATGGCGTGAGACAGGTCAGCCCAGCCCCCGCCTCCCCCCAACTCTCCCAGGGACTCAAGAGCCAGGGCTGGGGAGGGAGAGCAGGGCCCTGCACTGAGCAGCTGTGGGCAGACGGGGGAGCAGAGGGACCAGCTCCAGCCGGCCGGCCTGTGGGGCAGGTGACTGGGGAGGGAGGATGCCCAGTAAGGAGCCCCAGACCCACACCTAGGCCCACACCCGCGCCCTCACCCGTCCTGGGCAGCAGAGTCTCCCTGGGGGATAAGCCCACTGGCTCCAACATGAAGGCTCCTCGGGGGTGAGGGGTGCACGTGTTCATCCTAAAATCCTTCCGACTGGCCAGGACCTCCCCCTGACAGCTGTGCTGGCAAAAACACCGCCTCTGCAGAGACCATCCCCAGCAGCCGCCCTCCCCCACCAGGCCCAGGCCCGGCCCGAACCTGTACAAGGGGTGGCTGTTCTTGTCCATCTCATCCAGGGCTACCAGGGCCATGGGCAGGAGGGGGACGATGGCGACCTCCTGCACAGGGGCCGAGAGGGGGTGAGCGTGGGAACGAGAAGGGATGCTCACTGTACAAGCAGCCCATCAGCTACGCTCACCCCACCTACGGGGAGGGCACTCACACAGGGGGCCTGCTCATTCCTCAGGTCCACATTAGCACGGGTGTCGGGCAGGTCGTCCAGCGACAGGAACTGTGAGGAGACAGTGAGCTCAGCAGCAGCACCCAGCAGGCACCCAGCGGGCAGCAGCCAGGCACCCAGGAAACCTCACCTCATCCTCCACCCGCTGGGAGGCCCTGGAGCTGGCGTCCCTGCTGGCCCCGTCTTCCTGCGCCGCGAGCTGCCGGGCCCTCCTGGGAGAATCAACACATGGGAGTTTGGAGGCTGCAGGGGCTTCCCAGCCACACGCAGGGCACACGGGCCTCCACCTCCTGGCTCGCGCCTCCAGGACTCACCTCTTGCCAGAGATGAAATCGAGGGCCTGGTAGACCAGCGAGTAGAGGTATTCAACCTGGAGGCCGGAAGCAGGAGGTGAGGACGCAGACAGGAGCCCACCCACATACCCAGGGCAGACATCGTGCACAGAGAAGCCGGCTATCCCCTCCCAAACCTCCGGCACAAGTCCTGCCAGTGTGGCCATCAAGAGCACTTCTCCAGTTGAACAGAACTGCTCTGACAGCCTCATGAGCCCCCTCCCCCTCTCAAGGCTGTGCATCCCGCCATGCGCCTCTGTGCACACCGGCCTGCGGGCGGTCCATTCCCTCCGTGGCCTCAGCCCACCTCCCACCTCCCGGCTCCACGAGTCTCTGGCACCTGACACCACTCCAGCCACAACCCAGGGGGCCCCACCCTTAGGGTGAGGGTGGAGATTTGGAGATGCTGACCACAACGCACCACCAGGGGGCGCGCATGCTGCCTCTGGGCCACTTCCTCTGGGCCGGTGATCGGCAAACTGCAGCGCTGCTCGCGAGCCACATGCGGCTCTTTGGCCCCTTGAGTGTGGCTCTTCCACAAAATACCACGTGTGGGCGCATGTGCGACTGAAACTTCGTGGCCCATGCGCAGAAGTCGGTTTTCAGCCTGGGCGAGTATATTTTGAAGTGCTGTTGATATTTGGCTCTGTTGACTAATGATTTGCTGGCCACTACTCTGGGCGAACCCTCTGCTGGGGGGCCTTTTCTCTCATGCACTGGACACTGACACCGTCGTGAGCAAGAGACCCCATTTATTAGGAATAATAAACATTAACTTTCCTAAGTGTGTGCCACACACACAGAACCTTGCTTCACGCTTCATCTCACGTAACCTGTCTGAATCAGGTGCCACTACCATCCTTACTTTATCAGAGAATAAACTCAGGGCGCACTCTCCCTCCCCCACATGCATGCCTCTCCTAAATCCTCAGAGACCCCACGAGGCTTGCCGCCAGGGCAGCAGTGGGCAGCAGCGGCAGCTCTTCCCGGGCTCACCCCATACCTGTCTCCAAGGCCCCCTTTTCTCTGGCCGCCAGTGAGCTGACAGCAGCCCCCCTAGGCCACCTCCTTCACTGTGACTTTTTGCTCCTCAGTGGCCCCAGCAGCCCCACCTTGGCTCTCCTGTTGCTGCTTCTGTCCTAAGCCCTTCCTTGTTCCACTGCCCCCAGCTTTAATAAATGTGCTCTCAAAATAAAATTAAAATTAAAACATTAAAGAGAGAGAGAGTAAACTCAGACTCAGAAACACAGTGACCTGGCGCAGTGCTGGGCCCAGGCAGCACTGGCTCCCGGCGCCTGTGAGCCTAGTGCTGTGCTATCGAATACAGCGGCCACCAGCCACAGGTGGCTATAGCAACTTATATGAATTAACAGTTAATAAAACTCAAGATTCAACTTCCTTAGCCATGCTAGTCACAGCTGAAGGGGTCAGGAGCCACCTGCAGCCAGGGGTCCCCACCTGACCACAGATCCAGACCATTCCCAAAGCCCGCTGGGCCGACTCCAGAGCCCAAGCCCCACCCCTCGGCTTCACTGCAGGCGACACCTCCGTTCCTGCCTCATCACGGATCTGCCCATCTACCTGCCTATCCGTCCCCTTGTACTGGTGCCTTCCAAGTCAGTTGCAGACATTCCTTCTTAGGATAAACACAGGAAAAAGGAACTTGGTTCAATGGGATTATCTAGGACAAAATCAATAAAATCTTAGACTGTCTTAAAGCTCTGCAATGCCCAGAGGCACATCCACCACACCCCGTGCCAGCCAACCACAAGCAGATTCCTATCCCTTCTGTCTGCTGTGGACCCTGGAACTCAGCTCCTCACAGCTCTTCTAACTCCTACCTCCCACCCCTAAACTCCCAACGCTGGATCAGCACCATGGCCCACTTGCAGCCCCCACCCCCAGCCCAGCCCCGGGGACCCTAAGCCCCCTGGGGAGGTGCCCAGCAGGTAAATTCCATCTCTATTAGACCATGCTTTCCATTCACCTTTTGTTTTGCATTCCCCTCAGCAAATACATTTAAAGCTTGCCAAATTGCACTCTCCAAATGTCCTATCCAGTAGCTGACTCTCAGTACCTAACTTAGAGCCTCCGTTACGGAAATTGGGGCCTTCGGCATCAACTCCCCAAATCCCTGCATCCAACTTCTCTGCATCCATGTTTACATATCCCTCCAGTCACCAGGGATGAGGCATAGCCATCCCTGACCCACTCTCACTTCTTCTGGGATTCTGTTCATCTATTCTCCTCCCTCCTCCCTCCTCCCTCCTCCCTCCCCCCTCCCTCCACCACCACTTCCCCAGCTGCCCTTCTACGGGTTAGCACCATGGTTCCCAATCCCCACTGTCAGAGAGGATGTTTTAAGAAATCCTGGTGCCTGCACCTCCCCCGTTCCAATGTATTCAGCCTGGGTAAGGCCCAGCCACTGGGAACGGCTGGGATAGTGGTCTCGGTTAACAACCACGCTTTAGTTACTCCCTCGTCTCTTTCCTCCCCTTTTCAATAAAATTTCTCAAGAGACGTCCACACTGACCTGGAGCACTTTCTCGTGCCTCTATTTCCTTCTGCCAGTGGTCCAGCCCTCCTCTCACTAAATCCCCGTGACCTGCAGACCCAGAAGGTACTTGGAAGTCTTTAGGTTATGGGTCCAGTTCACTGAACTCAACATTTTTGGCCATTTTTCTTCCCTCTGGACATTGTCTACTGCTCTGACTTCCTGGCCAAGACATTTTCTCGATCACCATCTCTGACTTCCCCCTTGAGGACACTCCCTGAACACTGGTTCCCCACGGTGCTCCCTCCCTTCTGCGTTCCCTCTCTCTACAACACACTCTCAGCCTGGGGAGCACACATGTGGGCTGGATGATTCTCTGCAGCGTGGGGCTCTCCTGGACGTTGCAGGATGTTTAGAAGCAGGCTCTGCAAGTTTAAATCCAAGCTCTTGTTCAGTGTTGAGATGGCGAGGAATCCGGGAAGGAGACAGGGGGCTAGCAAGGCAGGTCGGAGACGGAGTGAGCCAGCCACCTGCCCCGCAGCACACACGACCTCGGTCCTGCTAGCCCCTGAAACACCCAGGCCCGTGGCCAGGGATACCCACCTTCTTACTGTAGACACAGGCGGAGCCCTGGATCAGCAGCGCTGCCTCCACAAAGTTCATTGTGGTTTTGCCTTCGTCAAAAGAAATGCAGATCTGGTCCAGCTGCAAGACACAAACCGGTTCTGGGGGAAGCCGAGCGCGTGCACCTCCCGCAGGAGCCCACCCACCGCCCCACCCTGGCCCTCAGACTGACAGCTCTGGCTTTGCTTGGGGCTCACTTGTCTGCTGCTTTGGGAGGGTCTCTGTGCTTTCCCCCACTTCCTGTGACCTCTGAGCCTGGTATTTGGAAGAGGGAGACCCCAACCACACAGCCAGTGCTGCACACAGCTCCCTGAAGGTGCTCCATCCAAGTCAGGGCTGACTCAGACAGGCCGGCAGAAAGACCCCGCACCCCGAGAGAGGAAGGGGCCTTCAGGGGTGGGGAAGACAGAGTTGAAACACCAATCCTTTGAGCAGAAAACTCAGGAAACACTTCCCAGTGAGTCCTCCTCCTTCTTCTGTGACCCCTGAACCCCAGCTCCTATCAACCACATGCCAACAACTCCCAAACCCGTGCAGAGCAGCGCCCTCTCCTAAGTTCAGGTGCGTTTGTAGCTGCCTAGCAGGTATCTCCATCGAGACTCCCCCCAGCCTGGCCCCTCCTGCAGTCCCAGCCAACAGCTCTTCGAAGCCCTTACATGCCCGTCCAGCTCTGTGCCAGGAATGCCCACCCCAGCCTGGCCCAAACTCTTCTGCAGTCTCCCTCGGGCTTCCTGCCACCTGAGGGAGGTCTGGCCACGCCCGAGTCTCTCCTCCCTCAGTGCACAGCGAGCAGCATCCGGGCAATTCCAGCCTCCAGCGCAGCGCTTGATGCCGGTGCCCAATAAATGCTCGGTGGAGATACCTGCAAAGTGGTGGCGTCGGCTAAGCCGTGTGGCCCACTTTCCCAGGTGAAGGAAATGGCTTTTCGGGAAGAGCAGCCGCCACACAAAGGCAGTTTGCTGACAGGGTGCATGTATTTGGGAAAATGAGTCTTAGGTGATCATATCCAAAGCGTAGGGCGTGCTGGGGGGTGAGGAAGACATTAGGCCAGTGGTGGTGCCAAGAAGGGGGGTCTGGGAGGACTCCACCAGCGCAAGGCGGCTGCTCCTCACTCCGGAAGGAAAGAGGGAGCGTGTTGTTCAGGTCGGCGGGGAGGGGGGAGGGAGAGGAAGCAGGAGCAGGACAGAGCGAACAGACGTTGTGCCTGAAGAAAGGGAACGTGGAGAGGGCGGCAGGGCCACCCAGACCCTGAGCAGCAAAGGTGGCCCTTCTCTTCGGTGATACTCTAGCCCCAGCTGGGCACCCACTCCCAGGACCTCACTCTCCATTCTCCTTCTAACGACTCCCAGGTGGGACCTCCCATCTATGCCCAACCCTTTTGGGTGGCTTACCCGAAAGCCACACTGAGACAGGTCCACGCTAAGCCCTAGAGAGTCCCTCCCCAAACCACCTCCCCAGTATCCCAGGGCCTTAGCTCCCACCCTGTTCTCACCTCCCCCTTCACCCCATGCCCAGCTCCCAGCTCCACCCTGGCCTGTCGGTTCCTGTCCACGGTGGCCCCGTTCTTCCAGCCCTTCCCTCCAGTCTCCTCTCACATCAGCCAGGGCTCGTCTGAAACATCAGCTAGACTACGTCGCTGTACCCACTCTTAGGGAAAACCCCAAGATCCTAAGCAGAGCCCTCCACACTGACCTGCTTCCCTCTCCAGTGGCCGCCCTCCCCTGCTGGCTGCACAGGACTCACACGGCCTACTTCCCACCTCAGAACCTGAACACTGTTCCCTGAACCTGGGTCTTTCTTCAGCTCACTATGACTAAGCAACTCCTCATCCCAAAGTGAGGTCCCCCAGTCAAACTCTCCATAGAACCCGCGACCTTTCTTTCAAACCGCTCGCCGGTCTGTGACTGTACAAAGGCGCCCACAGTGGTGAGGAGGGTGACAGCTGGGACGTGGTGCAGTCACCTAGCCTCTTTGGAGAACTAACACCAGCACCTGCACGGGCAGGGCTCCCGGGAGGGTTATGTGAGTTCATACGTTTATAAAGCACATGAAACGGGGTGGCTGAGCACGTGCCAAATGTGTGATGCTCATTCCAACTCCTGTGTTGACACCTAGGACCCAGCTCCCACAGAGTGCAGTGGGGACTATTTCCTCAAGATTTAATAGGTCCTGAGCATACAATGGACCAGGGTGTGGAAAGTCCAGCCGTGGGGCCTTATCATTGGGTCTGGCCCTGCCAAGACATGAGGGGTGAGTTAGTTAAATGTTTGACCAAATAGAGCAGGCTAATGTTTAAGTTGATGATTTTGTATGGCCTGGGAATGGTGTTATCAACATCCAAATGGCCGTTGGCAGAAAAAGCGTTCCCCACCCCTGCAATAGACACTCAACAACAACGAATAAATAAGTGGATGAAAGAAAATAGCTACATAATAAAATCTGTTTAAAAAGAAAAAAGAACATTCTGGTAGCTGTGTGGAAAAAGAAACAACACAAAACTAGAGTCAGGACGTGGGAGCAAGGGGAGGGGCAGGGCAGAGAAGGTTTGAAGAGCAGACATGAGCAGGAAGCAGATTCATCAGGCATCTCCAAGTACCCTGCTCGAAACCTGAACCCACAGTCACCCGACCCAGCACAGCTCTCGGCATTTTCTCAGCAGGGTGTGTCCAAGCGGAGGTCCACTGACATATCAAGTGTTCATTTAACAAGCGTTTATTCTGCACCTACTAAGTGCTGGACATTCTGCTAAGCAAAAGGAAAAGAGCATAAACATGGTCCCTGCCCTTGAAGAGTTTACATTTTAGGGTGGCAATAGACCATAAAGAAGTTAATAGCTCATGATACGCAGTCTATTCTTTATTTTTTGTTAATCCTCACCTGAGGATATTTTTTCCATTGATTTTTTAAATTATTATTGATTTCTGAGAGGAAGGGAAAGGGAGAGAGATAGAAACATCAATTATGAAAATCATTGATCAGCTACCTCCTGCACACCCCACACTGGGGATCGAGCCCTGCATCCTGGTCATATGCCCTGACCAGGAATTGAACTGTAACCTCCTGGTTCATAGGTTTATGCTCAACCACTGAGCCACGCCAACTGGGAGATTTTTTTTTTTTTGAAAGATTGGAAGGGAGGGAGGGGGAGGGGGAGAAAGAAACATTGATATGAGAGAGACACATTGACTGGTTGCCTCCCAAACATTCCCCAAACAGGGCTGGGGATCGAACCTGCAACCCAGGTATGTGCCCTTGACTGGGAATCGAACCCAAGACCCTTCCGTGCATGGGTCAATTCTCTAACCACTTAGCACACTGGCCAGAGTGTGATAAACATTCTAAAGTACTATGATCGAGAGAACTATTTTAGATGGGATAGTCAGCTCACATTTAAACTGAGACATAAAGGATGCTAAGTAATTAGTCATAAAAAAACAACAACAACAACACACACACAACCATACTGGGTGAAGAATGCACCCCAGTAGGAACAGAAAATATAAATACCCTCAGCCAAGAACGAGCTCAGGTCTTACAGGCTGACTGCCTCAAAAAAGCAGGTGAAGAGCCCAACTGAAGGCTAAGAACATAAGCAGGACGAAGGCGAAGATGCAGAGGAGGAAGCTGGGTTTACCCTGAGAGCAATGGAAAGCCACGAGGGGTGCTGGGCAGGGCAGTGCTCCCGCCTCCCCCAAGTTGTAGAGTCACACTTGCTGCTGGAGGGGGCATGGATTGGACGGGGCCAAAGCAGCAGTGCGGAGCCCAGGAAGGAAGGGAGGAAGGTTTTGCATGAATCTGAGCCCGATGGTGGCCTGGACCACAGAAAAAGGAGAGAGGAATTCAAGTGAAATGCTGGTGGGATCACACAGGCTTCGTGGGGGGCTGGATGTGGAGGGTGGGGTTTCACTAGATGAGCTCTTGGCTCTCACCTTCGGTTGAAGAGTGGTGCCATTCGCCAACATCAGGAAGACTGGGATTTGCACATTTAATATATCTCCTTCGAATGACTCCCAAATGCACGCTCCCAGGTGGGACCTCCCATCAATGCCCAAACCTTTTGGGTGGCTTACCCGACAATCACACTGCAACAGGTCCACGCTAAGCCCTAGACTCTAGGGGGCCTAGAGAGTCCCCGCCCCAAGCCACCTACCCGGCATCCCAGGTGACATGTGAGATCCTGGGAATAAATGAGAATGTGGAGGGGAAACGAGTGAGGAGATGGCCCAGGACGCACCTGCGGCGCTAGGCACGGAAGGTTGGGTAGGAAAGAAAAAGCGGGCACTGAAATCGGACGAACAGGAGACACCGAAACCTGTTTCAAAAAGGAGGGCGTGGTCAACCCAACAGGTGCTGCAGAGCCGCACAGACGGCCCTTCCCGTGCGCCCGGGGTTTGACGGGATGGAGGTCGTTACCGATCCAGACGAGAGCAGCCCAAAACGTGAGAGCGAAAGTCAAGGGCGGAAACGGAGCGGACAGCTCCTCGCGCTGCGGCGCTCCCGGCACTAAGACAACATTGCATGTCAGTTACCGTTAAAGGTAAATTTTAAAACAGAAGGGAATTCTCCCATCCTGGCCCAGAGCTCTCACACACCCAACGTGCACACACACCCCATTGCATCGGAACCAACGCCGGTCCCACCTGCTCCATCGATCGCGGAGCCCGCTCACGGGTAGCGAGCGACCTGTCACGACAGGCTCCCCTCGCAGCGATGGGGGCGGGGACGGCGCCGGGAAAAAACACCGAGCCCGAGGCCCAGCGCGGCCAGAGCGCCGGATGCACCGACCCGGAGGGGGCGGACCGCCCGGAGCCCCCGGCCCGGCGCCCCGCCCGCCCAGCGCCTCCCCCGGCCGCCCTCACCTCCTCCAGATATTCTCCCAGCTGGGCCGCCACGTCCACCTCCCAGTTCTTGGTGAGGTCGCGGATGGGCTGCAGGAGGTGGGCGAAGCGCGCCTCCACGTCCTCCATGCCCGGCAGCGGCTGGGGCGGCCCGGGGCCCGCGGGGTTGGCTTCGAGGGGGGCCAGCGCCCTCAGCCCGCCACCACTTCTGGCGCCATTTTGCGGCTCCCGCCCAGGACGGCGCGAAGCGCGCGGCGCCGGGCGCACGCCTATGACGCATGCGCCTAGGCGACCCCGGGCGCTGCGCCACCTACGCGCCGGAAGTGCCTCGGCGCGCTGGGGGCGGAGCAGGCTAGGGGGCGGGGCGTACATTGAAGGGGGCGGGGCCAGGGCGGGGACTCGCAGTTGCCGCGGGCCGGGCGGGGCGGCGCCGGGTGGACTCGCGGGCTCGCGTCCAGCGGACCGCGTAGCGGACATGGCGGGCTCCCGGCTCCCGCGGCAGCTTTTCCTCCAGGGTGTGGCTGCCGTCTTCTTGTTCGCCTTCGCCTCCCTCTACACGCAGATCCCGGGTGAGGGCGCCGATCGCGGGACAGCCCCCGCCTGCGCCCAGCGTCCTCCCATCTCCCCGCAGACCCTACCGTCCTGGGCGGGAGCGCAGTCCAGGCCTGGATGCGGGGATGGGGGCTGCGTTCGTGTCCTGCGGGCCGCAGAGTGGGGGGGTAGGGGGGCTTGCCATGGTCCTTTCCCGTAGGGCTCGGGTTCCCACCCGGGTCGGGGAGCAGGGCCCCGAGGTGGGGCCCGACCTGGTGGGGTAGGTAGGACTCGGGCTCTCACCTGGAGGAGAGGGGAACGGGACCTGCCCGCTGGGAGGCCCTGGCTGGGGAGCCCGCGTGGGGTCGGGTGCCTGGCCTGGCGAGGGGAGCGGTCACCGGGTTCTGACACGTGGGCTGAGAGCCTGCGTCCCGGCCTGGGGGGGGTCGGGAAGGACTGGCTGCGGGTTGGGACCTGGGGAGGCAGACACGCGGGCCCTGGGGCGGGGGGAGTCCGCCCTCGCAGGACTGTGCCCTCCCACAGGCCTGTATGGCACCGAGGGCATCCTGCCCGCCCGACGGACACTGCGGCCCCAGGGCAAGGGGCCGTGGCAGCAGCTGTGGGAGACCCCGACGCTGCTGTGGGAGGCGCCCCGCCTGGGGCTGGACACAGCACAGGGCCTGGAGCTGCTGACCCTGCTGGGCACCCTGCTGGCCCTGGGCGCCCTGCTGCTGCGCCAGCTGCGCCACCTCCTCGTCTACCTGCTGCTCTGGGCCGCCTACCTGTCCGCCTGCCAGGCACGTGGGGGTTGCCTGCCCTCCCCTCACCACTGGGAACCTGGTTCCCAGCTGACTTCAGCCCCATCCACCCTCCCCCATCCCTCGCTGCCTCCCCAGACATACACCCCCTGCTCCCTGACAGCCCTTCTCCTTGCAGGTGGGCCAGGTGTTTCTTTATTTCCAGTGGTGAGTGACTGGGTGTGGGGCTTCAGGAAGCTGGGGGGCGGGGGACGGGATGGGGGGCCTCTCCTGGGGGGAAGGGCCCTCTGAGGGGAGCAGCCTTGATGGGGAGGGGCTCTCTGTTCTCTTCCTTCTCCCTGTAGGGATTCCCTGCTGCTGGAGACTGGCTTCCTGGCGGTGCTGGTGGCCCCCCTGAGGCAGCCCTCCCACCATAAGCAGCCCCCTCAGGGTGGGATGGCAGGGGCCTCGCCCCACGAAGTCCTCCCCTTCTGGCTCGTGCGCTGGCTGCTGTTTCGCCTCATGTTCGCCTCGGGTGTGGTCAAGCTGACCAGCCGTTGCCCCACGTGGTGGGGGCTCACTGGTGAGGGTCCCCGCCTGCACACGGGGCAGTCTCGGGGGCCGCTGCCCAGCCCTGACCACCCACCGTCCCCCGCAGCCCTCACCTACCACTACGAGACGCAGTGCCTGCCCACGCCTGCTGCCTGGTTCGCCCACCACCTGCCCGTCTGGCTGCACAGGCTCAGCGTGGTGGCCACCTTCCTCATCGAGATCGCGGTGCCCCCTCTGTTCTTCGCCCCTGCTCGCCGCCTACGCCTGGCTGCCTTCTACTCCCAGGTGAGTGGGCCACCCGCCCTCAGGAAACAGGCGGGAATTGGCCTTCTGCACCACCCGGGCGTCCTGTTGGGGACTGGGTCGCTGCCGCCGGCAGTCAGGAGGTCTCGTGGCAGAGGCCAGGTTAGCTCTAGGTAGGAAGGTGTGCCTGTGGGGCAGAGCACGGCCTCGCTGGAGGATGTCGGGCTCAGGTCGGCAGGGGCATGAGGTGTGCTGAACTTGCGTTTTCTCCAAGTGGTGTTGGGGAGCCATGGTCGATATGAGCAGAGGGGACAGAACAGAGGCCAGGGACGCTGCAGAGGGGGAAGGAGGCCTGCAGGAGAGACCTAGGTGTGGGGGGCAGGCTCTGAAGGGCCCAGACGGGGGCGCTGGTTGGAGTTCTGAGCACAGACCCTCCTGCAGGTCTTGCTGCAAGTCCTGATTATCATCACTGGGAACTATAACTTCTTCAACCTGCTCACCCTCGTGCTCACCACCTCCCTGCTGGATGACAGGCACCTCGCAGCCGAGGCTGGCAACAACCGTCGCAAGAAGACACCTGCCTGTGAGTGTCACCTGTCCCAGCAGCCAGCCGTCCTCACCCACGTCTCCTTCCCCCAGCAGTCCCCACTGGCCTCTGCTCTAGCTCCCCAGCCTCCTGGCTGCCCACCCTCCGCCCTGTTCCCAGCTGGCCAGGACTGTCTTGCCCTGCAGCCTGGCCCAAGGCCCTGCTGGCCCTGCCGGCCCTGTTGCTGGAACTGGCCGTCTGTGGGCTGCTGGCCTTCGGCACCGTGCACTACTTTGGCCTGGAGGTCGACTGGGAGCAGCGCACCATCCACTCTAGAACCAGTGAGTGCCAGCTGGGTGCCCGGGGGCAGGGGCTGGACTGGGCTTCCTGTCCTCACACCCCTTCTTTCCACAGCCTTCACCTTCCACCAGTTTTCCCAGTGGCTGAAGATGGTGACCCTACCCACCATGTGGCTAGGGGGCGCCTCCCTCGCCTGGGAACTGCTGGCCGCCCTCTGGAGGTAAATGCAGGGGGGCGGGGGGAGGGGGGCGGCGTGGGCTATATAGCTGTGCAGAGCAGGGCTGACTGCACTTGGCCCCTGACCCTCAGGTGGACCCAGGTGCAAGGGTCGCTACGAAAGCTCTGGACTGCAGTCCAGCTGTCCATCTTTGGCACTGCCACCGTGGCCATGTTCCTGGTCAGCCTGGTGGGTAGCACTTCACAGGGGATCGGGGGAGGGGCCGGGCGGGGCGGGAGGAGCAGCACTGAGCCTCCGCCCACCGCCTCCAGGTGCCATACTCCTACATGGAGCCCTCCACCCACGGGCGCCTCTGGACTGGGGCCCACCGCCTGTTTGGCGCCGTGGAGCACCTGCAGCTGGCCAACTCCTACGGCCTCTTCCGACGGATGACCGGCCTGGGTGGGCGGCCCGAGGTGGTGCTGGAGGGCAGCTATGACAAGCAACACTGGACGGTGAGCACTCCACTGGCGGGGAGCCCAAGGGGGATGGGATTGGCGGGGGGGATGGGGGGAAACCAGGTCTAGCTGCTCTCCCAACCTGGCTGGGTGTGGCGCACAGGAGATTGAGTTCATGTACAAGCCTGGGAACGTGAGCCGGCCGCCCCCCCTCGTGGCGCCCCACCAGCCGCGCCTCGATTGGCAGATGTGGTTCGCGGCCCTGGGCCCGCACACCCACAGCCCGTGGTTCACGAGCCTGGTGCTCTGCCTGCTGCAGGGCAATGAGCCAGGTGAGGCTGGAGCAGAGGGTCGGGCTTGCTGGGGGGCTTCTGGGCAGGGCTGGGGGAGCAGCCAGCTGAGCCCGCTCCCCCGCAGTGATCCGGCTCATCCAGAGCGACGGGGCCAGGTACCCCTTCCACCAGCAGCCCCCCACCTACGTGCGAGCCCAGCGCTATAAGTACTGGTTCTCACAGCCCGGGGAGCAGGGGTAAGGCTGGGGCACCCGGCGGGGGCTGGGGGCTGGGGGCTCGGGGCTCCCCATCGCCTGAGCTCCCCGTCCTGTTTCAGCCAGTGGTGGCGACGCCAGTGGGTGGAGGAATTCTTCCCCCCCGTGTCCCTGGGGGACCCGACACTGGACACGCTACTCAGGCAGTTTGGTCTCCAGGTAGGAAGGTGCTAGCCAAGTTGGGGGTGCTGACAAGGATGACCTCCACCCCCAGGGACGACCCCTACTGACCCCCCTCAATCCTGCCCCCACAGGACAAGAGCCCACGCCGGGCCCGCAGCTCCAGCAACGCCCTTGCCCAGGCCCTCCAGTGGGTACGGAAACAGCTGTCGCCCCTGGAGGCCCCCACCCTGCTCTGGGGACTCATCCTCGCGGTGGGGGCCATCAGGGTCCTGCAGGCTCTGCTGGGGCCCCGTTCCTCCCGAGCCTCCCCTCCCCCCGGGGAGGAGAAGCACAGGCCGGCACCCAAGAAGGACCCGGGAGCGGCCACGGACCAGGCTGCACCAGCCCCCAACAGCAGCAACAGTGGCTCCCAGACTGCCCGGCGGAAAAAGTAGCCGTGTTCCGTCTGCCACACGTCCGGAGGGTCGGCATCCCCCACACCTCTGGCCTCTGAAGCTGGACGTGGCCCAGCCACAGTGCCTTCGCCAGTGGTCCTGGCAGACGCAGACTGAGGTGCTGCCCAGGGGCAGGCTCTGGCTGCCCTGCTGCTTCAAGGGTCCACTTGTCCCCGACTGCGCCGACCACGTCCCTTCCCAGGGCCCCCTCTGGCCTGGACAGTGGCCCCGGAGGTGGGTGTGACCAGCTCAGAGCCCTTCCCAGGACGTGGTGCAGGACTGGGGGTCCAAGTCTGCAGAGGCCCGAGTCTGATGCCAGCCCAGCCCATCATTTGGTTCATGAACCAATAAAGGTTCTTCATGCTTTGACCCGTGCTGTCTCCTTCCCACAGGGAGGCCTGCAGACAGGCCTCTGTTGTGGGCACAGCCCAGCTGCTGTCCAGCTGTTGCTGACCTGGCTCCTTGGGTGTCTTTGCTCTGCCCTCCTCAGTGTTCCCCTCTGTAAAATGGACACAAGGACCTGGTCTGGCACCGCTCAGGGCTCCAA